AACTACATAAACAGCACTTTCACAATGATTATAAAGTCTGTGTGCTACACTACATTCTTTATTTTTAAAACAAGTAATTAGAACAATGACAGTCTACATTAATCGACACATTCTTAGGAAATATTGGGTTCACAGCGAATTATCAGAACTATTTCAGTAAAACAGTAATATCGTGCTTTACCTGGAAACCTAAAGCTGCACTAGGTATACATCACATTAGCACAAAAAAAAAACTAGATATTTTGAGCACTCGTATCAATCGTACTTACAGGTTGTGGTTCGGAGACGCTTGTTGGTCCAAATAAAGAAGATTAGAAGTCAACGAAGATAAAAGGCAAGATTAAAGGTTCGAGGTAAAAGGTTCGAATTGTATTGCTGTGGTATCATGGAACACAGCATCTTCTCGACACAGTGTGTTCGTATTTCGTGGGCAGGTGGGGATTATGCTAATGTGTTATCCAGTGACGTAGATCGGTAATAGGCAGAAGATTCGAAAATATAACGACTCGTTAAGGCGATTCTGAGTCGACTCTTTCTTTTGATAGACAATATCTTTATTTATCATGCACTTTTTTGATTAACAACTTTGCAGACTGTTTACATTGAAGGATAGCTACCTTACGAACTGCAAAAGAGATATTTTTCGAAAACCCATATGACCTGCTCTTTAAAAGGCATTTTACAGGGACTGGCAATTCATAATCAAAAAAATATTTTAGAGATTAACAAAAATTTATATTCACTATAGAAACTTCACAAACCTATATTATTTTTTATTAATTCCGTGACTTTTCCAGGCCTGCAAAAACAAATCCTGATATTTACAGCTCTGTTTAATGTACTATGTTGATACTGAATTCAATGTTTGGAAACAATTGAAAACACACTGATAACTGGTTTGCTTTGGTTTAAGCATATGCACTGGTTTCTATTGGCTCCACAGAAAGCAAATGATAGTTGCACACCAGTGATGGAGAGGGGGTTCAATCTTCAACTGGCTGGCAGGAGCCGCCACTGACAGGTCATGTGACCTGCCAGTGGCTGGTGGCAGCTGCCAGTCTGCATACTGCCAGCCAGCCTGCCACTGGCAGCTGCCACCAACCACTGGCAGGTCACGTGACTTGCCACTGGCAGCTGCCACCAACCACTGGCAGGTCACGTGACCTGTCAGTGGCGGCTCCTGCCAGCCAGTTGAAGATTGAACCCCTACTGCAGTGATGTTTGACAGAGCGTTGCTATGCAGTTGCTAAGGCGTTCTGGGCGGTTAGAAGTCAAAAGTCACCCAAAGTGTAAGAACAGACAGTAAGCCCCTTCAAAAGACAACCTGAAGATGTCCACTGAAGACATGAAAACTGCTGGCCATGACAGCACATATTACTATTGCACCAAGCAAGTCACATGGTTAGATCTGAGGTTTTTACGACTGTCATATGCAAAAGATCATCTGAGGGCAACATTTACAATAAACCAACTGCCTCCAGACAAGAAGTGTGTATTATGCATGTGCATGACACCCAGCCTCCTTTGTGTACCTTTTAACATTCTGCATTCATTCTAATCCATGAAGCCTGTTATGAATACATAAGATGTGCATACTGTCGATTTTGCGCAAGTATAAATTTTAATCACTCATCATATATAGACAGGAAGGAGGATCCTGATAGAGCTGCAGGCTATGAGATGGGTGGTGTGAACATCATTAAATGTCCTGAAGTCACACTGCAGTACTGTTTTAATGCATTACAGCTACAGAAACGATCACTGCGTACGTCTTACAGATGAAAGATTAAAAAAGCAAAGCTCACAGGATATTTACACTGTGACTTTGAGTAGAACCAGACTACAGGACAGAGCCGGGCTTTTATTTACTCACTGAGTTGTATTTACCCATGTGCTGATCTGTGGCACTATTTAACGGTCCAAACAAACAGCCAAGTGAAATATATCCCTGAACTATAAACATTACTCTAAACACCAAGCAATTCGGTGTTCATTCTTTTTACTGCTAGTGTGCATTAAAAATCATTTAGTCAAACATTCAAACAGATCAGAACGTTTACATTTAATCTAGAAATATAAATAAATACTTTAGTAACAAATTTACCCCATTTATTCAGTAGATCACTATGATAACGATTACAAAATGATTCCAAACAGGTTTGTTTAAAATTTAAATCTGGAAACCAAGAGCATAGAGTTAAAGCACCAACTGTTACTATAAATTAATATACTAACAACTATACATAACAATAATAAATATTATTAATATCTAACAACTATATTGCCATCTTTTGTACTTCATAACACTAGCAGAGCTTAAAGACATGCTTAAACCTCACTTGACAAGCTGATCAAAGAGTTGATTAAAAATAAGGAAACGTTACAAGCAGATATAAAAGTACTAAAAATATTCCTATCCTCTTCATTTAACGTTACATTAAAAAAAAGTCTGACAGATGTGACTAAAATGCAAATGAACTTGTCAAGCTCGATCCACAAGCTAACTTACCAGTATTTAATGCAAATTTTACAGACAAACTAACAACACATGACGACTACAATGCACAGCCTTTTGCCAAATATAATATGTGATAAATATAATAATTAACACATGTGAATTTGTAAAGTTTGAAATCAAAACAAAGACATTAGCGACACGGCTAACGCTAGATGCTAGCAGCGCGATATGTGAAATACAAAATAACTGTGCTTTATATTATGATAGAAATTAGAAAATGGAAGTTTCTGTAAGAAATATTGTTATTTTTGTGCTTAATTCAAGCTGTTAACTGGCTCCTCACTGACCTGCGGCTCTTAGCAGAGGCCTTCCAGACAGCCGCTCAAACTGATTGAGTCTGTCCGGGCTGTGTGCTCCTTCTGCGGCAGACATCGCTCCGAAAATCACGCTGAAATCATCCACCTACACGCACTCGCAGACAACGGGGCTTCCTTCAGCAGACAGAGGCGAAACGCAGAGCATAACTCAGCCCATTCTCCCCGCGAAGAGACGTTTAAATGAAATAGATGGACCTGACCGGATCTCCTTTGCAATGAATGTGAAGGTAGAAACGCTGGTGAAAACCTGCAAGATGGCCACAAAAAAAAACAAAAAAAAAAAACACAAGCTATGAAAATAATCAGACATTTATGCCTTTCAAAATAAAAGTCTTCATAATAAACGTCAAGCTTTACAACCAAATTTTTGACTGAAATACTTCAAGCTGACACAAAACGTCCAATACTAAAAAATGCTGTAGCTTTTTTTTCATATTTTATTTAAAAAAAAACAATAGTATGTAATACTAAATGTCATGTCAAATGTCATACATTAATTTAAAAATGAATGGTTTATTTATTATTCACTAAATTAGCGAAATAGGAACTGTTTACCTAAATAAAAAAATAAAATAAACTGAACAAGATTTTTCATGACAGTCTCACATTTATCAAAGCAATACTGAGGCCAGTGACTATGTTAAGACCGAAGAATTAGTTTGACCAACTAGCAGTTAGCCAAGAGATAATCAGTCTCACTTTTCTGATTAAAATTGGGCCAATCTACATTGAACAAGATTTTGCATGAGAGACTCACATTTATCTAAGCAATACTGGTGCTTTATCTTTCCTGTATGCATGGCTGATGATACACGGGGGAAATTTTTGAGCAATTTTGCCAGGCAACTTTTTTTTGAGCAATGTTGTTTGGGCATTTTCCCATTGAGAATGGGTAACACCTGGTTGCCCGTTGACAGCAACATTGCCCAAAATGTTGCCCCGTGTATCATCAGCCAAAGACGTATTGTTCACTAGTTAAGTCTTAAGCGAACTGCTCAAGACATTTTATTTGTCGACTTAAGTGCGGCTTACTTGAATTTTCATCTCTTTTAATATTTAGAAAAGGACTGAATTTTCGCCATTAGTAATTTGTATATCTCAATATTATAAATCACAACAAAATTATTTAATTGCACACACACTTTTTTAAAAATCAAATCCCAAAATGTACCTGCTAAGTAATTTTGGTTATTGATAGCAGCTTAGATAGGCATATATTTGAGTAAGCACTGTAAAATCTTTTCACAACACAAACTGCAATGACAGTGCATTCTGTTCAGTTCCTTCCATTGAATGCCAAAGAGGTTGTTTCGTTTAAAGTTTTCACCCTTCTACTTCAAAATCCATTGTGTCAAACACCAATATGAGACATGTCTTGGTGTGGTTATTTTTGTTCTCAGCTCAACTCAAGGCCAGCAGCTTGTATCTCAGCTAAAAGTATCTACTAACAATGAGTTGACTGACTACAGAAAAACAAATGTCTCTTTCATAAACTGATAAATATGATCTGTTACTGCACAAACTACTTGTTTGTATCAAATGAATATGTAACTACACTAATGTAGCCTCCTAACAAACAATTCATAATTCAGTACCCATATTTACAAACTGTATATGTGGTTAAACCATATAGTTTTGTATTTATTTGTCTGTGATTAACATAACTAAGATGTTAATGAGAGGAACAGTATTTAGACGAAAACAAAACAAGGTAATGGAGTGCAGCAGTATGGTGTTTACAAATAATGAAGAAACTGTTACTACAATTCAGCTATTATAGTTTTAGTGTTAGCAATCACTGTCATCAAAATAAGAAATGTAGAAAAACGACAGAAAGCTTCTTAAACGGTTACCACGGTACATTTTTGTAATGAAGGGGGCGGAACTGTGTACAAATTTTGACAATTGATGTCTTGCAGCGGGAGGGTTTAGTACGGTGGCCGAGAAATGCAAAGCAAATCACAATTCTGAAAACAAAAGTGTAAATAGCATATTGCTAAAAATACTGCTATTTTCACTTAGTGTAAATAGAATCCATTGCTAATACGAGATTTGAAAAGGGAGGGAAAAAAAGTTCGGCAAAAGGGGGGATCGAACCCGGGTCGATCGCGTCAAAAAGTCAAGGGCACGCACTTATCCATCTGCGCCACTGGAGCTGATGACTTACAGCCACTTTTAACTAAATGTAAATAAAAATGTAAATACACCGTATTTCTTAATCCAGCGCAAGGGCAATTCATACAATACATTTAAACTGAGCTACTTTAATACCATCTCCGAACTTTCTACCACGACTCTGCTGTTCTTCGGCTGGTTCTTCCCTGTATACGTTGATTGACAGATGTCTCGTCCAGTCAGCGGTGAGTAATCCCAAACCAATGGCGCTGTCTCAAACTATACCTACCTCTTCCGGTTTGTCTGATTTGTCGTTGTGTTTTCTGACTTGTTATAATGTTTTCTGAATTGTTGTTGTGCTTTCTGAATTGTTATTTTGTTTTTTAGACTTGCATTTGCGTTTGTAATTTCTTATTTTGTTTTCAGAATTGTGATTTGCTTTGCACTTCTCGGCCACCGTAGTTTAGAGACAGACACCGAACATGGCCGCGCTCGGCAGCCATGCAAGTCGCCCAGAAAACGGCGAAAAACTAAATAAAAATCCACTCGTGTCTCCCCTGAAAGTGCGAGAACTTCTCAACGAAGGGGTCGCTTCGGAAGACAACGTGTTAAATTGGTAAGAGTTTCTCTGTAATGAGAAGAAAAGTTGCAAAAAGTAAGAATGTGCGCGAAGAAAACAGGGCAGGAACGGTGAACAATTCAGCAAACCGATAAGTTTTTACTGGAAAACCCTGGTGGAAAATTGAACCTAAAATGGTAGTTGTGTTTTGGAACATGGGAGATGATCCAAAATAAACATTGACTTACTAAAAACCGCTAGTAAGTCTTGGGAAATTCACCAGCTAAAGAAGACCACCAGTTAGACTAGAAACAAACACGTTACCAATCTACCTGTCAACATGTAGCTGGTTTCAGGCTGATGCACACTGGTAGACCCTCTTTGACTAGCAGCAAACCAGCTACCAGCTCGTCAAGCTGGCTTTTGAAGCATGGTAGTTGGACCTGGTCTACCACCTTGTTCTAAATCAGTCTTAAAATGTATATTTCTGCAGGGTGATGCACGATTGATGGATGTTTTTGGACTAATGCATGCATGTTTTTTCCCTGTAGGAATTAAATAAGTGCTTGCAATGCTGCAAAGTCACTCAGGTTCTATTTATGCCTGGAAAATATGGATTAACGGGAACATTTGTGGCATAGTTTATGCATAACACTTTATTCTCCATATCTCAGTTCAGAGCAGGATCCAAACACACTGTCTCCAAATGGCCTTGGGAAAGCTCCTTGTGAGGCAGCAAACAAAGAAGCGTTTTTCAACAGAGTGGAATCCTACTCAATATCCTTTTGAGTGTCGCTTGATGTCAGAATCCAGCAACCAGTTTGTTACATAATAAATTGCATGCCTGGTATAGATTAATCAAACTCAGTTGTTGGACTCTTCATTGATTTCAAGATGTTGCATCACACATCTAGTTGATTATGATTCATCTTTGCCAGACAATCTGTGATGAATAAAAACATCCTTAAAATCTGACAGACTTAAGCCCCGTTCACACCAAGAACGATAACTATAATAACGATTTTTAGAACTATATCTTTATCGTTATCTTTATAGTTATCGTGCTTGGTGGGAAAGGGCCTTTAGTCACCATGAAATCAGAACTGACAGTTCTTTATTTAACGAAATGTTGCAATGTGCATTATTATATCCTGCCCTAAGTTTTCACTTGGGTATAAGTCAAAATATGGAAGAAAAGATCATCACTAATTTATTGCTTTTGCAAAATTCATCCTTGACATAAGTACTGCCTCAAATGGGCCGGAAAGCCCAGTGCGCTCTCGCCGCTGAGATGTGCACGGTACGGCTGGATCAATGTAGACTGTGACATGCTGAAGTGTTCTAGTTGCCAGGCTCATGACGTCCTGATCTTTTGATCTGATCTTACTGTGCTATTTGCGATGTGTTTTGTAGTGAAGCTTCAGAGGTTTTGTGCGGTTATGAGGTTTAAGTCATTGCGCCCTGTAGGTGCGCGCCTTTCAAACGCATCAGCGCTCTGTGAATGGATCACCTGGGGTGGCCTCTCGCAGAACCCTTTATTCAGACATAGGCCCATTTTATTGGTAAATCAAATAAACTTGTGTCATTACGCAGAGTAATTCAATGCTCCCCAAGCGCTGGGAAAGCCTGGACCTGCCAGAGCACTGCACACGAACATGTGTCGAGGAAGGTGAGTTGGGTGAGTTGGCTGTGTGTGTGTATATATATATATATATATATATATATATATATATATATATTCTATTTATAGAATATGTTTCTAGAGTGAAGCCATATTTTGTATCTGCACACATTCACTTATTTATTTTTTATTTTTTAGATGAAGGACGGATTTCAGAGTTGCTACAGCAGCTTCAAACGCAACATGAGAAATTCTGTTCCTGGCCGGATTTTCCATGTCCAGGTATCTTGAGAGGTCCACTAGTCTGTCTGAAATCTTAAGCAGACATTGCTAGTCAATAGTGTTGTTTTTTTCCCAGATCGCTTCTGGATGGTTCCTATTAATGAGCCTACGGTATTACTCAGTGCCTTTCTAGACCGTTTCAAAAGTGCTTGCCTTCTTGAACAACAGCTGCCTGCTATGAAACCAGAGCAACTTAAAGCCGTGGTATGATGTTATATTTTTAAAGGGAAGTCCAAGAATAATGATTCTATGCATTCATCATTTTTTTTTTTCTCTCTCAGACCTTGACTGAAGATGTAATAAGTGTTCTCCTACAGCTGATTGAAGATGAACAAGTGAAGCAGTGTGGTTCTCCTTCTAAGGTCTCATCAGATCCACTCTCTGTACTGGTGGCAGCATGTATCGTAGCTCTTTGTGGTTGGGCAGCCAGGTAAAATCCAATCAGTGACCTTTGATGCAATCTTGGCAAATTTTATGCTAAACTTTTATTTCATGTAACTCTTTGCTGTGTTTCTATTTAGCCCGTCACTCCAAGCTATTAATCTGCCCATCCTCACTTGTTCGTACTGCATGAGAAAGGTGGGAATGTGGAACTTCTATCAAATGGAGACCGTTTCAGAGAGCGAAAATCCTCCGCAGTCTCCAACATCTACTACTGCCTTGACTCCATCTC